TTTCTCTTTTTATTTCTGCGGCTGTACCATCCCACAAACTTCTGTTGACATAACTCTACCTTTTACACTGGCCACAATGGTTTTCCTGTTGTGAACACAATGTATCCAAGACATAGTCCCAACAGCAGTCCACAACCAGAACCCATCAATGCAAATTTCCAATCAAATAATGCTGCAGATTCATCTTCTACTTCATCAAATTTGAAGAAGGTGATTCTGGTTCTTTGTCACCTTGCATTTCTTTGTCAATGGAATTCCACACAATCCTAAGTTTCCAATGTAGTAATCTTTAGAAAAATTATCAAACTACTTCCCTTGTAGAGTGTGAATCAAAAGTTCCTTGTATGAAAAGTTCAAAACTATAAAGAATGTAAGACTTGTCAACTGCTCAGGAATCCTACCATGCCATCAAAAGAGATCTACTGATTCAAGTTCTGCCTATTTCTCTAAAGATGATGGAATTTAACCTGTGACTGTGAGATTGTTGCAAGGGAAGTTAAGTACTAGAAGTGAACTGAGTTCAACCAGCTCTTCAGGAATCTGTCCATGGAATATACGGCTTGAGAGATCAATGATTGTGAAAACTGTTAAGATTCTTACAAGCTCCACCTCTATGTCTTTTATTGTCACCATCACAGAATTCTCATAATAAGTCTATCATTGAGGTTTTTCTTTTGACTTTTGGCAAAATGGCTTCCACCAAGGACCTTCTTCTATCTTTTGAAAGTCTAACAGATGAGATCAAATTTACTTAATCAGATACCAATATAATAGAAAATGAGAATGGGCAGATCTGCAAAATTATTCAATCTTGTCACAATCTAACATGAAATAGCTGCACGTTATATTGCAAAACCCAACAAACTTACTGACCTGAAAGCTATGATCACTACATCATCTTCAATGGTGACTGCACAGTAGTAACTAGTAACACTGACTTGACCGCCCAACATTAAAAGCATCTGATGAAATCAAATACCATAAAAACTTCAGAAAGTTTCCATTATTCATTGGAAGAGTGAGTGAAATCCATTGTTCAAAGAGAGGGCTCCAGCTTCTAAAGACATTCAAAATGACTGGGACAAAACAAACCTTCCACAATTGCACCACTACAAGTGCCTGAGCGTGTAAGAGCAAAATTTATGATCAAGTGAATCGGTTGTTACAGCAGATGTACCACTAAGTGACAAGGTGAGTTTTCCACTCTTTTCAGGGTGATCCTTCAAACATGTAAAAGGTGAAGCTGTAATGAAATCAATAAAACATTCAAATAAGATTCCAGAAGACTAAAAGGAGAATGCTAATCTCATATGCTAAATGGCATGTAAAATTCAAAATGCAACAGCTAGCGTAACAATTAACTAATACACAAACAACACATGAACAGAAACAAGTAAGGCCTACCTAAAATACTTTCCCTATTTCTATTACAATTTAACCGTATCTCGATAACAATAAGGACTTCTAATGGTTACTACAGGTCCATACTATAAAAGCAATGATAGGAAATGTAGCTAGCCAAAAAATGAGAAACACCACAAATATAACTTACAGAATTACAATAAATTGAGGTTGTTAAAAAAGGTCATTATGATATTTGTGAAGTACAAAGAGAAACAAAGACTAGCTATAGGAATTTAATCTTCATACATTGTTTCTATTTTCTTGATGAAACAATTTAGATTCTTGATAAAAGAGTTATACCTTTCAACTTTCAAGAGTCCTCAATCTTAGACTCTTAGTTACAAGATAAATGCATAAATTCTTGCTGTGATCTAATATGAAATGAGTGGCATATCATACTATTGCAAAAAATAACATACTTACTTGAAAGCTAAGATTACAGCATCATATCTTATGGTGATCGCACAAACTGCCAGATAATGAAAGCAGCTGAATTCAAATTCCAGAATAAAATAAATTCAGAAAGTTTTCACTATTCATTGGAAAAGAAAAAGCAGAATAACTAAAAATGAAACATGGAAATAACACTTTTGTATTATTAAATTATTAATTTTTTTTTTAAAACCAGGTAGCCAATAATTACTCAAAACCTTAGACCATTTGAAGCACTTCCATTGAATCCATCTGCAAGCAGCAGGCTAATTATATAAGGAATCAACTCGGGTTCCACTAATGGAGGAGGATTATGTCAGTGATTGCTACAACAACACACAATAACTAAAAGCACAAGAACTAACAACAGTAATATAATAAAAGCACCCAACAGGTAAACTAATGGGGTCCCAGCTCCATACTAAAACTCTCAATCAATAAATCCAGTGGGTGAAAAATTTTCATATTATATTTAAAAGAAAATTGATTTCAATCTGTAGACTTCTTTCTCCAATCTAAATTTATCTTAAAGATTATAACATACCTAAAGAATTTCCTTCTGAGGCAGTAGTGAGTAGTCATTCTTTGTTGGTTCAAAGTAAGAGGAACTACACCCAGACAACCTCTCTTGATTAGCATCTCCAAGAACATGCAGCTTGAGTCATTATATCCTTAAAAGAGTAAGTGAAATCCATTATTCAATTAGGATAGCTCCATAGTTTAAAGATATTCAAAATGACTTGGACTGAACAAACCTTTTGTAGTAGCATCAACAAGTGCCCAAGTGTCTAAGAGCAGCAATATATAGCCAAGTGAACTGGTTATGGTAGACAATGTACCACTCTGTGACAAGGTGAGTTTTCCCCATTTCTGTAGTGATCCTCCAAAAAGTTCAAAGGAGAAAGTGTGATGAAATCAATAAAACATTCAAAAGGCTTTCAAAAAGAACAAATAAGAATTAAGACAGCTAAAAGAAGAGTGTTAATCCCATAAAGGCTAAATGGCAAATAAAATTTAAAAGGCAATAGCATCCAGGATGAATAGACAGCAACACACAGTATCACAATCACCTTGGATGCCTAAATATAACAGGAACACATAAGACTTGCATTAACTACTTTCTCAATTTCCATTACACTTTAATTAACTGAATCTGAAAACAATAAAAAAAAATCCCTATTAGCTAATCTAGGCCCAGAGTAATACAAAGTTTCGGTGAGTGCACAGCGCAAAATGAGAAAGAAAAAGCAAGAAACTTGGTCTAGTACATAATACAACGTAGCTAGTAGAAAAATTAGAAATGCCACAAATAAAACTAATAGTAAATTGAGGTTGCTACACAATTTTCTTAATGGAACAATTTACATTCTTCATAAATGAATTGCCTTCCCTTGAGGAATGTGACACAAAAAGAAAAATATTCATTAGACACAACTTTCTTTATCTTAGCTTTTCCTCATATACAAGAAATAATTCATAAGACAATGCAATATTGATGAGTTGAATTTATATAGATATTAATGTGGAATTTTTATCTTGATATTATTGATATTGGGATGAATTTTATGAGATTCTACATGATTTTCATTCTTTGTGAAGAAAAAGACTTGATTGCATAATAATAGGAGTTTTTGGGGTTAATTAAACATCTTTTGAAAGTTGAGGGACTCAATTGCAAGAAGCAAGGTGCTTCTTTAAGACCTAAATGAATGAATCTTGAGTTTTGGGATCTAAGTTCTCATCATACAAAATCTGGAGGACCAGATATGCTATTTTACCATTGAAAAAATTACAAAAGGACCAAAAACTCAACACAGGTGTAGTGTCGATACATAATCTGGGTGTCGACGCCACGGGTTAAGCACTTAGAATTCAATCATGTTTCTTGTTTTGTGTCGACATGTAATTCGGGATGTCAGCACTATGCATTCAGTGTCCGAAATTCAAGTTTCCTATTTTGTTCAAAGTCCTACTTCTATTCCAATTAAAATTTCTAAAATCCTATAAATACCCATCCAAATTCAAAATTGAGAAAACTGGTGGAGGCTGGTGGTAGCCCTCTTTTGGGCATTCTTGGAGATCAAGATAGAAGATCCATCAACAATAGAAGATCAAGGATTTTAATTACCTCAAATTAGGTTTTGTTTTTTTCCTTAGATATTCTTATGCTCATAACTGTGATTTTAGATTTTATTATTTTTATTATGATCTAATTTATTTTATTAAGGCTATGATGTAGCCTAATCAATTCAATATAAATTTTGTGGTTTTATACTTTCAATTAAAGTTATTCGCATGAGGAGTATATATCATTGAACTTAATGCATTAAAAACCTGATCACATTTCAATTGATTTAGTGATTTATGCATGAACTTGAGAAAGAATTGGGTAAATTAGATCAATAATAATATAAACCGTGTGCTAGACTATGAGACCAAAAGGAAATTAGTTCACATGTGGTAGTGGAGGAAGAGAAGAAAGTTAGGAGCTCCCTTTCTTAAACTAGAGGTTTCCATAGAATTTAATACTCATTAATTTGTTTAAAATTACATGGAGATATGATTAATTTAACAAACAAGTGAAGGATTAACTTAACTTGAGAAAACTAGTTAATTAATTTAAGGAAATTCACTATCACCTGCAATAACACTCAACAATTTGATAATCCAAAATTTATATTAATTGATTATATCGAAGTCAATGCCTTAGTACCTCATATATTGGTTAATTTTATTTTACTTGTTATTTTTTTTATTATTTTTTTAATTAAACCTTTTCGATTGTTCAAATAAATTTAGATTAATTATTTTGATATTTAGTTAAACACAATCCTCGTAGATTCGACACTTTTCTCGTCATTATATTACTTGGAGAGACTAGTACACTTGTTATGGTGATTTTAGTGCATCAAATATTCATGTTTCAATTTAAGAATAACACTCAGTCTTTGACTGCAAAATAAGTACCTGAATATTAGAGCCATCAAAACAAGTAATTACTTCAGCCATGACAACTGAAATATCCATTGATGAGTTCATAGAAAGAACTACAAATTTAACTTCAATTCATCTCGACAGAATACAATCAAATAGAATGATCTCTACTTTGTGGTATGACCTGCACTAACTAGCCATGAATACAGTGTAAACATCTCAGAATTTAAACAAAAGTTTACAAATGAGACCTGGAACTTACATATGTTAATGCTAACCTACATATGTTGTTTTTAAGAGACAGAAACATCTTATCTCAACCTTGGCATATGCAGCATAAAAATATCTAAAATTTTTCAATTTAAGTGGTAAAGGCAAAACACATTAATTTAATCCACACAGAAAATTATAGCTTTCCCCCCTAAGACAAAAGTTAATACCTCAACAAAACAAAAGGAAAACACCAAAAGAAAATCACCTGCCTATATATCAGATCACTAGTCAATGAATAAGACTTGAGTTGGCAATGACTAGAGGGTGGGCCTTCGAAGAGAAAAGGAGGCTGGGATCGTCCCTCACCCAGCCTTCTTAAGTAATAATCCTCCCTGAAATCACTCAGCTGTCATCCAAGATTTGTCATATGCGTCTTCGCTTCCACACCGATTGGAGAAATATGGTGAAAGGAGATGTCTGGGGGCCCAAAAATTAAAGAATTTTTACATTTTACTTTAGTACAATGCACCATTCAAAGACAACCAAAACAAAGGATGAGAGAAGAAAATACAAAGAGATTACATCAAAAGAAACAAATTACAATAGGAAAAATACATGAGCAACTACGTGCAGAGTAGATAGATGAAATCCAAAAGAAATCAACAAAAATTAATACATAACCATAATTCCCACACAAGTCAATACAACTATATATCAACAATGAACATGAAAAAGATGGAAACAAACTCAAGAAGCAACTGTTGCCAGATCTCCCCAAAGTAGGAAATCAATCACACCTGCTTACACCTACATAAAATAAAGCAAAAGTAGAAAAATTAAGTGTCACTATTATATAACATAATGGTTAGAACTTATATAGAACACAAATATTATAGAGAGTTGTAAAAACTTACTTAAGAGTGTTGGTTGGGTTTTTCTCTGCTTATGACTTCGGTTGCACCTTCCAACTAATTTCTATTGATATTTCTCCACTTTCTTCACTACCCACCATGGTTTTCTTGTAGTGAAGGCAATGTATCCCAGACTAAGTCCCAACACCAGTCCACACCCATAACCTGCCAATGCAAACTTCCACTCAAAGACTGCTATAAAGTCATTTTCTCCATCAAATTGTGATGAAGGTGGTCTTGGTTCTTCGCATTTCTTTGTCAATGGAAATCCACACAACCCAGAGTTCCCAACGTAGGAATCATTTGAGAAAGTATTGAACTGCTTCCCTTCAAGTATATGGCCGACAAGTTCATCGTGTGAAAGATTCAAAACTGATAGGAACGTCAGCTTTGTCAATTGCTCTGGAATCCTACCTTCAAGCTTGTTTGATGAGAGATCTAATGACTCGAGTTCTGCTAATTTTCCCAATGATGACAGGATTTGACCATTGAGACTATTATGAGATAAGTTTAGTGATAAAAGTGAATTGAGTTCTCCTAGCTCGTCAGGAATAGGTCCATGAAATTGATTGCTCGAGAAATCTATAGTTGTGAAAACTTTCAAGATCCTTGTAAGCTCCACTAGTAACCCTTTCATTACTACCTTCACAGAATCCTTATAACTATCAGTAAAAACTGTGCAACTTCCACTACCACTGAAACATTCCATATTGTCATCAATGTATTCCAATTTGACCTTATCAGTTGGAGCTACATCTCTCATACCTTCCAAAATTTTGAAATAGTTACTCGGTAGGAGACCCATAAAATCATTTTGTGCGACATCAATGATTCTCAACTGAGGGAAGTAAAATGCAGACATAGAATTGTTGATGGCACCATGAAATCAATTAGATCGAAGGATGAGAACTTTTAGCGATGGAAGAACACCTAACCAATGTGGAAATGTATCATTCAAGTTGTTGTTCCCCACATCTAGAATTTCCAACATACTACAATTAACCAAAGACCGTGGCAGTATCCCCTCCAACTGGTTGCCATTTAGGTTGAGAGTTAACAAGAAACAGTTGTTGACAAATAAATTTGGAATCCTACCATGGAACTTATTCATCTGCAGATCCAAGATGTTGAGATCACTCAAGCTTCCAAGACATTCAAGAATTTTTCCTCCCAACCTATTATTAGCTAAGACTAGAACTTTAAGAGAAGTATTACAATAAGAAGAAGGGATTTCACCAGTCAAATTATTCCTTGAAATGAAGAATAGCATAGATGCCCAAGTTGTTGATAGAAAGGGAAGTGATCCTTGTAGTAAGTTGGATTTGAGGTCAACAATTCTAAGATTTCCAAAACCAAATAAATCTATACCAGTCAAGAAGTTGTAAGAAAGGTTTAATGTTTGTAATGACATCCTTTCTATCTCCCATTTGTGAATTTGACCAGAAATCTTTTTCTTGGAAATATCCAATGCGTTCAATCTCTTTGCCTTCCTTAAGAAACTTGGGAACTTGTGTACGTTACAAGAAGAGAATTTTAAAGACCAAAGATTCGGAAAGGAATAGTTGACAGCAATGCCATTATTGCTCAAAGACAACAAACAATTATTGGAAAGATCAAGATCCTCAAGGTCTACAAGCTTTGAAAGCATGTCGAGTGTGATGGTGCCAGTTAAGTTATTTGAAGAAAGGTCGACTCTAGTAAGATGCACAAGATCAAAGAAGGAGCTAGGAATTGAACCACTTATCTCATTATTGGAAAAATAGACTTCTTGTAAAAAGAGACTAGGCTTCTCAACATGATCAATAGGTCTGGTAAGGTAGTTGTTTTGGAGGTCTAAATGGAATAAAGAAGGCAGAGAAAACAACCAAGATGGCACACGACCTAACGACCTAATAGCTTATTTGATGATAGTGACAAAAAAGTAAGATTGGTGAGGTTGAAGATTGATGCAGGAATTTCACCACTAAAATTGTTTGCATCCAAGCTCAAATAAGTTAGCTTGTGCATTTTTCCAAAAACATCTAGTATATGCCCTTGCAAATGGTTGGAAGAAATATATAGTTGAGTTATCCCTGTAAGATTTACAAGAGATCTAGGAATTAATCCATTAAATTGGCAGCTATTAAGACTCAATTCCTTAAGGAGTTTAAGATTTCTAATTGAATGAGGCAACTCTCCTGAGAAGGATGTGCTTGCAAGATCTAAATACTCGAGAGGACTACTCTAGTTTAACTTAGGCAAATTACCTCCTAAATGAGAGTTGTAGCTTAAATCAAGAAGCTGGAGAGATGGAAGCTAAAAAACTTGGTTTGGAAGGTTTCCTTGCAAATTACAATCGTGAAGGCTCAAATATTCTAAGGAGGAAGTCAAGTTTAGCAAGGAAGAAGGCAAAACCAGAGACATATTCACAGAATCAAGGATAAGAAACCTTAATTCTTTTAAGTTATGCACAAGCATTTGAAACTTTATGTTGTCAAGAAGCAAAGGATCCACCAATTTCCAAATAAAATTAAGAGAAAGATCGAGTGAAACCAATTTCGATAGCAAGGAGATCTCATCAAGTAGGGGAGAGCCATCCATGAATCCTGAATCTGCAAGGTTAAAGATTTGTCAAATTAGAAGAAGTGGAACCAGTTTTAAAAGCATGGAGATTTTAAACAAAAGAAAAAAAAATGAAATCTCGCACCTGAAAGATTAAGATATGTCAAACTCTTCCAACGGTTGAACCCGAATGAGATGTTAGGATATTGAAAATAATTGCGAGAAAGGTTGAGACTCTACAATTTCTCAAGGCAGAAGAGACTACTATTTGTAGTTAGATTGGCAATAAGAAAATTCGAGCTAAGATCAAGGCCAATCACGTGACCTTTCACCTTGTCGCATGTGATGCCCTCCCACAACCAACAGTCTTCACTCTTGTCCCAAGTTTGTATTATAGGATGTATCATTTGACAATCACCCAAGAGACGACACACTGTCAGCAATTTAGTAGTGCTTTTGAAATCAAGCAATGCAGAATGCTCTTCAGGACGGCACAAATGTGGTGATGAATCGGAAGAAGATTGAAAAGGTGAGGAGCTTTGGACTCAAAACTGTAACAACATGAAGGAAAGGCAGAGAAGTTGGGAAAACCTTATTAAACTTGCCATTTTCTTAAAGATGAACACAAGTCAGGAAACAAAGGAGTGATGGATCATTCAAAATTGTAGGGCTAGACACAAGAATTTATGGTCTTCCCAAAAGTGAAAGTCCTTCAACTTTTTTTTGGTTAAATCTTTAATTTGATCCCTCAACTTTCATTTTTGAACCAAATTTACCCTCAAACTTCAAAAAATACTAAAACAATCCCTGAACTTCAATTTTTTGGACTAATTTCGTCCTTCCGTCAACAAAAGTGCCATATGGCATGTTAAGCTCCTAAAAAATAATATACTTTTAATGACATGTAAAAAAATGTGTCTTTTTTAATTACGTGGCATTTGTTTCCCTTCCACTTCAAATTATTATAATTTTACAATTCCATTTAATCATTTTAATTAGTTTGTATATTAAAAATCTAAAACTACTTAAATGCCTCCTTCTTCATTCTCCAATCCCTCTTTCTCTTTGCAGTTGCATTTTCCTCCTGCAACCCTTTTTCTTCTCTTAGATCTAATCATCCCTCACCACTTCGATCCCTATCTCCAATTTGTATAAATATGCTTAACCTAGAAACCAAAAAAATCTAATTTCAATCTCAGCTGACCTATATCAGAAAGAAAATCTGAGCTTCTACATGTCATTTCTCCTTTTTCCTTCTCTTTTCCCTTTGGGTCTGCTGGTTCTTTCGAACCCAGTAGATTTGGAACCCATCAGACACTGGGTTCCACTACTGGGTTTGAACTCAGTGGCCACTGGTTTCTATGGAACTCAGTGGCCGTTGGGTTCGAACCTAACACTCCTGTGTTCTAGCAACTGAGTTTAAACCCAGCGGCACGTGGGTTCCAACCGTTAGATTCGAACGCCTGGGTTCCCTGGAACTCAACTACTGCTGGGTTCCAACCCAACAAATTTTTTTGTTTTGTGCAACAAATCAAAAAGATTTTTAATTTTTTTGTGGATTTTGTTATTTGGTGATAATGATGAATAATTGATTGATGAAAACAATAAAAATCCCCTATGACATAATGAGTGAGTAATTTTTCATGTCATTAAAGGTTTAAAACAAAAAAAAAAAAAAAAAGCTTTTGTGGCAACTTAATGTGCCATCTGGAACATTTGTCAACAGAACGATGAAATTGGTCCCAAAAATTGAAGTTTAGGGATTGTTTTAGTACTTTTTGAAGTTTGAGGGTAAATTTAGTTTAAAAATGAAAGTTTAGGGACCAAATTAGGTATTTAACCTTTTTCTTGACCTTTTTCTTGACTTACATGTAAATTTCTCTAATAGGTCAAATTTTTTTCTTTATCTTTTTATAAAAAAATAGCGTTCACACAATTTAACTTTCTTTTATATAGTTTAATAAAACTGCACTAGTAGTCACACCCGCAGCTTCGGCTGCTTTGGTCAGGTGCACTTAAACTCATGATTTTGACCAAAGTTCAAAATTGCAGTGTGCAGCTCCCTTTACTTCCCCCTCAGATTCCCCCCTGTTCAAAAAAAAAAAAAAAACTGCACTAGTAGTCATTAGCCATTTGGTACATATATTTAATATTTTAATAATAATTAAATTTTACGTTAAAATACTATTGTACTATAATTTTTCATTTTTATTTTTAAATTGTTCCTATTAAAAAAATTATTTTTGATTGTACACATAATTTTAAACTTTTTTTTATTGTTAGTACACATAATTATGGGTCTTAAATGAAAAAAAAATATCAATTATTTAAATAATACATAAAATTATATTAAAAATATAAAAAGAATTTTAAATTATTTTTTATAACTTTTATCAATAAATACTTGATTGAGTAAATATTTATTAATTTGAAAATTTTAACTTAAAATTAAAGTGAAA